TCTAACTTTATAATAAGGCACGAGGGGCAGCCATTCTGATCCACAAAAAATATTGTTTACACCAGTGGTTCCCAAACTTTTTCTTCTGCGCCCCCCCCCTCCCCCCAGTGGTTTCCAAACATTTTCTGCGCCCCCCCCTATGGATTACAAATGGCTGTCTGGTTGAAACGACGCGTGTGACGGACGGGGGGCATCGACTTTTTGGGGGGCAAAATGAATGTAGTAACCAAAAATAGACACCAACATCGGTAGCCTACAAGGTACTTGTTAAGCTTAAGGTTCTGTATTGATATTAGCTAGCTAGTCATCTTTTAGCTAACATTACCTGCATCCAACAGCTTTACTCAACTCGGTCGGTTAGTTTGGAGGGTAAAACTGTGAAAAGTTCTTTGCGTTTTGCTGGTTTGCTGCCGTGATTCTAACACAAACCTACGTAGCTCCGCACAGCAGCAGCAGGTCTCCTTCACAGGTGTAAACCCAGCGCGAGCGTCGTAGCGCTCATGTTGCGTTTAAAGGCGGCTCGGAAAACAGGTTACCACATGTTAACAATGGATTAAACAGTTTTAACTGCTGATAAAAGTGACAGAGGACACAAATATGGGAAGTGTGGATGGAAGCCTCTACTGTATCAAATTGACATAGGAATAACAGAGAGTTGGCCATTCTAAGGTAAAAACCCAGCGCATACAGTGTTCATGTTTTGTTTTTTTCATCCAGACGGCTTCCCGCGCCCCCCCTGCAATGACACGGCGCCCCCCCTAGGGGGCGCGCCCCACAGTTTGGGAACCTCTGGGTTAGTCTATGATTTCAAAAATATGCATCTGCGCTCCAGTTTGTGTTCGTAAAACGACAGTGTCGTAAAGTTCAGGAGATAGAAAAACCTTTGCAAAATGCTTTAGCTTAAACTTGCAAACCATGTGGCTCTTCAGAGTGTTAATGGGCCTGCTGTCCTTCAGCAAGTAGACCAACAGCTACTCAAACTCACCTGTAGAACCCGCTTCTGCCACCTGTAGCGGCCATGTTTATGAACGCTGAAGTTATACTGCTGTGTTGTACTTCTCTCAGGCTGTTCCTGTAACAGCAATTAAGAAGTCACTTTTAAAAGACAACGTTGCAGGTATAAACTATTCATTGTTTCCTCTTAGGACACACATAGCACTCCTTAATCCAAATGTAAAAATAAGTTGGGTTACAGGAAACTGTTCAGAAAAAGACGTGCTTTCAAACTGACTCAGCAGGCTTAGCAGCATACTAGCAAATACAATGTTAAAAGCTTGGAATAAACAAAAGCAAGTTTTCTTTAGCTTGGACTTTGTAACTGAGACATTCAGAAGGTAACTTTTGATGCTCTTTTGCATCAAAAGATGCAAAGAACTGTGACTGAATGCTAATCATGAAAATCTAAAGCTTAAAAATAAAGCTATGAATAAATCTGCAGGTATTTTTGGCAACCTAAACGCAATCAGGGCAAATGTAACCCAGGCACATATCTTAGTCTTCCAAGAATTGCAATACCTGCTTTTTATGAACATATGTAGTTGCAGTAGAACAATAAAACCTGCACTTTTTCCTCTTTACGCAATTGCTTCTCATGCTCAGTTTCTTTTCAGTGCGTTATTTGTTCTCTAACCCCTTCTTTGGGTGTCATTGTAATCTGCTTTTCTCCAGCATATTGAGACCTAACCTGAAATATGATTCATCCTTGAGGGAGGGAAGAGACACTTTTAATTCATTGTTACTGCACTCTAATGGCAACCATCTGCTTTCTGTTTGTGATTGGACTGGAAACCCACCTGGAGGAGCTGCTCTCTTTCCTTCCTTGCCTGGTTCAGAGCGTCATCGATGGATATCTCTCCATTTTTCACCCTGTTCATGATGCTAAGCTGCATTTCATTGCTCAGCTGAAATAAATACACAGAGATTAGAAGTTTGATTAAAAACACAAGATATGGATATTTTTCCGGATGGCGTATGAGCAAAATTTGGTGATTTCTACATTATTTTGAAACTTTCATGACTAATTACGATTTTTATGTAAACAAAAGGTTGCAAACACAGAAGCTCATTGTGACTTATGGGAGCACACAAAATTGCACTTTTCATTTTTGGTCATGTTTGAGTCACTATTCAGTGGAAAATCATCATGATGCAACATGAATAACCAGACAAAAAACATGGTTTACAAGGAATCGTCCCCAAAAATGTCCTCATGTGACACATTTCTTAGTAAATAAACTGTCATATTGTGGGAAAGTACTAATTTTAGGGAAGTAGTTGAATTGAGGAAGTGAGAGATGCTTGAAAGAGCCCCATAAACTCTACCAAAGTTCTCTGTGCTGATGTGACGTGAATGAAAGTGAGAGGGCTGCCTTCTGTGGAACAAAGATAAAGTCAGGATGTTGGTTCATACTAGCAGAAGAACAGACACAGATGTTAATATCATGGTAAATGACCTGGTAGTTACTGTAAGTAGAGTTGTAGTCATTACAGCCTTCCACTGTAAACTGTGAGTCTTACCTGGGGCAAGTCGCCGATGGATCTGTCCGGTCTGGACACATAGTCTCTCTTCTTTGATCCTAAACCAGGCATAGCAGACAAATGTCCATGCAACAGATCACGGTGCTGCTTCACAGGCGCAGTGCTTGGCTTTGTTTTGATTGTCATGCAATAACCCGACAGACATCTGTCTTAATAGGCGAGAGGAAAACGGCACTGATTTGTGTTTCTCTTGTTGCGACCGCCCTCTTTCAGCTCAGGTTACATTTTTTCATTTGCTTTTGAAAGGCTCTGCCTGGTCAGCCACACCTACAGAGCAGAGGCTTCCTGTGCATAGCTGCAGAGATTTCAGCTGACATGTCTTCACTTGCATGACAATGTCTTTCTATTCTCAATGAGCCTTTTTGTACAAAGTTGGGAGTCTGGACACTACTTTAGATTAAACTTCATAACTTAAAAAAAAGATTATAGTAGAAATTAACTTTATTTATTCCGAAGGGGATAATAATATAATCCAAGTGTCCAATAGGAAGGATATCCAATAGCAGTTAGTTTTGCAACAAATCTGAAGAGGCCTCTTACTGAAGACTGCTGTGATATTCATGCTAACAGCTTAATTTCTGGCCAGCAGAGACAATATTCCAAATACTATGTTACTGGGTGACACCATCAGTTGTTTACAAGCACTGCTAATCCACTTTATTTGCTTCTGCTGCTCCTCTTTAAATCTAAGAATAAATGTAAATCTTAAACCTAAATAAGTTTTATTTTGAACTCCTCTGGGATTTGGGGTCATAGTTTAGGCATGATTTAAGAATGATACTTGTTTTAAAATAGTGCACCTGCAAAATTCAGAAAAAAGTACTAATACACCTCAGACTTCTCAATTTCATTTAGTCATTTTGCAACTACAAACTTCAATGTTATTCATTCGAATTTTATACGGTTGACCTATTAAGTAGCACATAATTTTGAAGTTGAATGATCAAAAATCAAATTTCTAAACACTGGTGTGCTTTTGTATTCAGCTGGGGCAAGTCCCGATGGATCTGTCCATCAGCTGCTGTTACTCCAAAATACCCTTAAAATAAAAATACTGCCTAGTTACTCTAATTATAAAAAGAGTCCAAAAGAGAACAATGTCCAGGTAATGTATGGAGGGCATTATCTATTTATTTCAATTTCTTTCTATTGATTCTGTACTTTTTTTTCCTCACTCTGTATGATTGATCAGTGTGTGTTACATTGTACTGAAACAGTCTGTGATTTGAAATGCTACAGTGAAAAACATTACAGAGATTGTGTGGCTAATATTATATATAATATCAGCCCACCAGCCCCACTTTTAAGCTTAAAGATTCCTGATGTTATTTATCAACACGTCAGTATGCTGCTGCCACCAACTAAGCCCGCAGCAGCAGAGACTTGAAACAGAAAATGAGCCAATCAGAGGTGACATCACAGACTGTCTCCGCCTCTGAAGTTATTTATAAAGTCAACCTACTTAGCAAGTGGGCTGGTTAACAGTAAGTGATTTGTTTTTGCAGGAAAATATGTGATGGTCAAAACAGATAAAGATTGCTTGCTTGTCGCTAATTTAATGTTTTTATTGCATAACTTTAAATCAACTGTGTAAACAATATTAGCAATTATTATTGAATTGGCTGTAGAGTTTTTTTGTTGTTTTTTTTTTCTCCAATAAAGCCATAGGAAAAACAATACCTATTGTAATTTGAGCAGACTTAAATCAAACGGCATCGGCAAGAAGACAAGCAGGAATACGACACTAATTAGAACAGAATAAACAGAGAAAGAGGGAAACGAGAAAGTAAGGAGCTGAAGGGGTTGCTTTCTTTGAAAGGGTTAAGCTAATTATTAACAAGCCTATATTAATGTCCAGGCCTAAGATGATGTAACATCAAGCTGTGATGAGAAACATATACTGATGTAATATGTGGACAGTGTGCTTACAGCATAGTGGTTCATCTTTATTTTTGTTAGAAAAGCAAACTTTATCCTGGAAATAAAATAACTTTTGCTTTGAATTTTCAACACTGGTGACCTCAAATAACTCAAGTTCTTATTGTAAAGTATTCCTGAGGTTTGTGATGCACCAGTGGATTGTTGAGTATTCACTACAAATATTTCTTTACTCTATAATTTTTTTGGTTTTTGAAATATTTTTCATTTATTTAAGTCTTTAAAAACACAAAACTCCAGTATGTGTCTTTGAAACTTTTCTTTGGCTGTTCTGTGAGTTTGAAAGACAGAAATGCTTTTTCCTGTTTTTCACATTTTTCCATTATTTTACGCATTGTTTCCACTAGTAAACCAGTAGATTCCAGGTGGTCAGAATCTCCTGAATATGTGATGGTTTTTGGTCTAGTTTCCTCTTTTCACAGGACTACAGCCAGCAAGTTATGATAAAGCCATATTTAAATGCCTTTTATTCATGTTTTCAGTTTTTCAAACACTATGACGCATTTTTCACATCACTATTAACATTAGAAAAACAGCCAGTTTGTTTCTCAAAATAATTAGTGCATAGTGCAAAATCTAGTTGGTTACTGGAAAAGGTGTTTCACTTAGCGAAAATGGAATTCAAGTATTTATGGTAACGGAAATGTCAGCATCATCAAAATGAAAAGTCCTGATACAATGTTTATGAGCGAAGTAGCCACTGGCTTTGTTTTCATGACAGTCCAATTAAAAAAAGTTTGATTTTTATGACGCTACCTGAGAATACGCAAGGCAGCCCACAAATGTAACTGTATCCAAAACCTATACTCTCATATGTGCTGCACTACTTCAACATATTTTTCCTCAAGTAAAAGTAAAAAATAACTGTCCAAGAAATTACTCAAGAGTAAAAATGTATTTTATATAAAGGCTATTCGAGTACTGAGTAACTGATTGGATTATCTGATTTAATATTTAGTAATTATGTCATCAAACAGACATAAATGTACAATCATGTACAAATTCTGGTATTTTGAAGACTAAAATTAATACAACTAAATAACATTATTACAAAATAACAGATTCAGGCAGAAGAAACATTTTTTAAATGAAAATAATGCTCATAGTGTTAGATTAATCTATATGTTATATAGATAAAGTATGCTCTTTGCAGTAAAAAAGCTAAGTATGGTAAAACTGCTCCTAAAACTAAAAGTTTTCCCCAAAAAGTTACTCAAGTTAATGTAACTGAGTAACAGTTACTACACACCTCTGCACATCACTGTATTTAGTGAGATCAAGGAGTACAAGACACTGAATATGATGGTTTGCATTTTTGCTGCATATGCCCTTTACAGTTCTAATTTGTTCACGGCTTTGCTTAAAAGCAAAGTAGAAACTTATTTACCATAAGAAACATCTTTTGGGTAAAAGCTGAGGCTCTCCTCAGAGACGCTGTCCAAGTTGGGAGACATTTTCAGGAAACAATGATAAAGAAATGCAGAAATGCAGGAAGAAAGAAACAATAAAAAAAGAAACAAAGAAAGAAGGGGATTTTATCTCCTCACTTACTGTAATTTTAAAAAAAAACAACAACATTGTAATATCTCCTAAAAAATTACACTTCTGGTTGTGTTGCTGTTCCTCACATGATTTTTGTACAATGACGTCTATTTCTATACAGCCAGAGTAGAACTAGGAATTTCCATATCCTGAAAAAAATGTTTCCTCCCACTACATTACGTAACACTACAAGAAAAATAAGGTAAACTCAGACTCTCAGCCGAGCTGGTAAAATGGCTTGGTAAAATGATCAGAGTTTGTAGGGAAGTGTATTTAGAGCAACTCAGGGGAATCCTCCACAGCAGTTAGAGATGGGGAAATCCCCCTAATAAAAAGTTTTTGGGGAATCCCTTTGTTCTTACAATCAACACTGATTGTTTGAGGACACAAAAACAAACTCATGCTGTATTTCTTGAGAACTGATGGCATGTGGATCATGCCATCAGTTCTTTCCTATTACTTTCCTTACTGTTATCCGTAGATTCAGTTTAAAACAAGCAAACAACCAAGATTCTTTTTTTAATTTAACTGCAAGTGGTTTAGCATTTCTGCAATGCATTTCATAATGTTTAGAACACAATACTCCCTGACATTTAGAATATTCACCTGGAAATATGTTTGCTGATGACAAATTACACAGAGGGAACAAATATGAGGAAGGAGGTACGTGTTATGACATGTTGCATGTTGAGTAACAGAGTGAAGCAGCTGAAACTGAACAAAATCCACTAAAATATAAGCATAAATATTTAAAATTAAACTGGAATAATCCAAGTCATTTTATGAGGCAGTTGATAGGTGAATATTATTTATTTTATCCTTGAATTTGCAAAATAAAGCCAGTTAGATACTGAAGGGGGTGGGGGGATTATATTCCACAATGATCCCAAAACTTTTCATGTTTTGGTTGAGAAACAACTGTGAGGGTAAACTAGGATGGGAGGTGGGGAACACGTCATGCTTTTTGCTTTTACAGGAAACGGTCAAGAATTAAAAAATCACGTGGAAAACCAGTTTCAGCTCCTCCCCCTTTCTTAGTAACTATAGACCATGAGCATTCAGACCAATCTGCACAGTTGGTCTGAAGGAGCAACAGAGTGAGAGACTCCGTCTGGTTTTATCAACATGTTTGGATTCCAGTTGCTGCTTATCGGCGTCCTTATGGTGAGTAATAATAATAAATACGCTCATTCGTTTATTGCGTAGTTGAAAAAGCGGAAGGTTATAAACCGAAGACAGCACGAAGAACATCGTTCTTTCCGACTTTATTTCAGATCTAGTCTTTTATGATGTTTATAAATCATTATTTAACGTGAACGCTAATGCATCACTTTAATGTTGGTCATTTAGGCTGATTTGTGTCCATTCTCGCTGAAAGCGCTGCTTGTAGGAGGATAGGCGGGGTGGAGGGTCTTTTAGTTTCACTTTCGACGCTGGGATCCGTGAGTGAAACCTAACACGTAAAATAACGTTATTGGCAGCAAGAAAAACAAGAGAAAAACCCTGCAGCTGCTGTCCCTGGAGCTTTGAATAGGTTGAATTGTTGGGACTTTCCACCCCGGCCCTAGCCGTGTGGACTGAGGAAGTGAAGCTACAGTCAATTACCAACAGAAACTGCGCCAGAGATCACATGAGGACACGAGTTTAATAATTACAGAGTGTTTTTTTTTTTTTTTTTGCTTTGCAGGGCATGAGCGCCGCTGATCTCTTATGCGACCCTACCACCCAGTATGAAGAAAATGAACAGTGCTGCATGAAGTGTGGACCAGGTATGTAACCAGTCTGGAAACGTCGTTTCGTCTCGCCTTGTTGTTCTATAGGTTGGAGTTCATATATGATATTAATACAGTAGATATGAAGAGGCTCTGCTGACATGATGACACAATGACGCCATTACACCAGCTGCAGAAGCCCTCACTTTTGCTTTCATTTACTTTTCCTCTAGTCCTTCCCTTTCGCTTTCCCAGACTTTGGGAATTTCCACATCCTCCCTGTGGGGTTTGGTTCTGAATGTTTCAGACTCCTCCTTAAAGATGTCTGAAAGAGACAGTATTCTTTTCTCCTGCATGATAAGCGTAGTCCAGTGTGGGGTTCCAAAGTTCTATGACACAGCAGCCTTTAGAGAAAATACAAAAAAAGGTCCATCCATTACTCCACCATCCATCTGGTTCCCATGTCTTATGGCAGTCAAAGCCATACTAAAAACATAAATACTAAAAACCTTCACCCCACATTGAACATTCTTTCTTTGTCCTTTGTGAGGTAATTAAAACAAAGATGGAAAACTCCAACCATAAAGGATCAGTATCCTACATTTTTGTTAAATGCATCTTGTTGACAAAGTTGAATTATCTCCTCAGTCTGCCGTCAAGGACCATATTAATGTCCCATTTATTTTAAATTATGTGGGTTCACACTGGAAAAGCTTAGAATCATGCAGGACTCTACCATATGGCCAGAAAACCCTTGATAAATATTAAGAAATATTATAGCTGTGATAGACTTGAAGCCTGCTGTATGAAAACTTTGGGGTTATGTTTGCACTGGCATATCATTAGCACTATTTACTCTGTGTGCAGCATGTTAGCAGTGATGGAGTTGCACTAAATCCAGCCAATACCACAAGTACCTCAATAACAGCAGATGTGGGTCCCATTGTTGTGCTAATGTAGTCAGAATAATGCACTGGAAGAGCAAGGATGCTAGAAAATAAGTTGCAGAGGATATGTTGGGAGTTGTTTGTCACTATTGGGTAGGAACAGGTTATGCTGATCCTCCCTGTCAGAATAAGTTGATTTTTTCATGTGTGGTTAAGGAAATAAATCACTGTCCCATAACTTGTTTTGCAGGAACAAAAATGACGATGAAAGACTGTGAAAATCCAACATGTGAGCCATGCGGCCCGGATGAATATCAGGAGACGCACACCACTGAAAAACGGTGTGAAGCCCAGCCATATTGTGATCCAAGTAAGACCTTTGCACATTTCACACACATTTGTATTTTCTTTCACTACATGTCTTTTAAAAGTGTGGCCCTTTTTCTTTCAGATAAAAACATGCAAATTGGAGTCCATGACAGTAAGACGAAAGCTGTCTGCATGTGTGAACGAGGGTTTCACTGCTCAAGTGAAAGTTGTTTGACCTGCGTGCCACACAAGCAGTGTGGGCCAGGAGAAGGAGTTCTGTCTGAAGGTGCGGCAGAAATGTTTAAATTACGTAATTTTTTAATACAACAATTAACAGTTTTCTTTTCCTCTTGGCACAGTTTTTAAAAAATACCCTTGACTTTCAGGGACTCAAAAAGATGACACAGTGTGCCAACCATGTGTGAAGGGGACATTTTCCAATGAAACCTCCATGTATGGCCGCTGCATTGAACACACAAAGTAAGTGCTGATGCCCACAAATTGAGACAACAACACTTGGAATACTTTTCTAATTCAATGAGGGTCACAAAATTCATTTACTGATGTATATGTTGTGAATTTTGACTGTGGTGACTACTGTGATCTCTCTTTTTCACTCACTAGTTTAATCATTTAGTATCAATTTTGAGCTAATGTGTCAAATATAAGTAGATAAATAAGTGGTTCCTCTTTTATTTTACTCTAAAGTTGTGGATATAAATTTGTGGACAAGTTTTAAGCACTCAGGTTATAAAACTGCATTCCAATCACTGATCATTGCACATCTAAAAATTGAAAGAGTATGACACGACCAGAAAAAGAAAACATTTGTTTAAAAAATGCCATTATGAGTACCGTTTAAAGCTTACAACATGCATTTAATGGGGCATAGAAATTTGGAAATTGAATTATTTGGACTTCGTGCAACACAGTATGTTGCTGCAAGGTCCTAAAGCAACATGCTGGGCTACTTAAAAACTATTTAACGACGTATTCTCAATTTCACTGCATTGTATTATGATACAACACTGAGACCCAGTGGTAGTGGCAGCATAATGCTGTTGGAATGCTATCATTTGGAAGGAATTGGGGAAAATATAATAAATATCTGGATATCCTGGAAGAAAACCCATTAGAAGCTGTAAAGACTTGAGTCTAATGAATGAGGTTCACCTTCTAGCAAGAACAATTAACTTAAATATCCAGCCAGGGTTGCAAAGAGGTGGTAGTCGAAGTACAAAACTAAAACCAGCTTGAAATATAAAGCAATATTTTATTACTTTGTGTCATTCTATTACATAAAATCCCAATAGTATACACTGAACTTCATGGTTCATGAGTTATCACTGTGCATACAAAGAGTTAGGATTTCACAAATTGGCCAGATATTGATGTGACTCACAGTATCAAGTAGGAATTAAATCTTAACCCTGTAAAACTCTTTCCAGGTGTTCGTCGGATTATACTACTGAAGTAGCTGGAACCAACCGATCCGACACCATATGTGGTGAGTTTTGTGTGTCTCAGAGGTTTCTCACCCTTACCTTACATTTATCTGTTGCCTCTGTGGTTAGAAATTTTGTCGAGTTGCTCAGAACGAAACTTTCTCACTGACACAGGCCTGTAAACCTGTTAGTAATGTGGTCCCGAGGTTGGGAGCAGCAGTGTGTTTTACTAGTGTATTATTTAGATTACTTCTATGTGTGGAACAGACGAAAAGTTAAAAAATACCTCTGCCTGTTTGTCATTCAGGATTCAGGGGTTTTTCAAAATAAAATGCACCTTGGGAGGCTGAAATATCTTGGTTAAATGGATTGTATTTGCAAACCAGCCAATCCAGGAGTGCCTTGCGTTTTCCTTTGCATTGATTGGCTTAATGGATAATAAATATTAAGGTATATTTTGTCATGTAGTTGCAAATTTCAGCTGCAGTCCATAAACCCCTCGAATACAAGGGTTCCACTCTACGTATTTTTTTATGAAATGGAAAACAATCCTTTTAACTTCCTACATTAAAAATGTAAATAAGTAAGATGACTGACATTGTTAGATATGACTTTATCTGTCAGTATCTAATTGTTGCTTTTTCCTGTCTGCTTCTCTTACAGTAAAGAACAGCCGGGCCCATATCATAGTTGTCACTGTGATGGGAATCTTTCTAGCTGCATGTTGTGTATTTGGAGTGTTTCTGTATTGCCAATGTAAGCTTCACTCTGAAAGTTCACACCGTGCTGTTAATAGTGTTGATCAAACATTTAAAATGTTTTTTGTCTCTTTTCATTCTAGGTAAATCAAATTCAGAGAAGGAGAAAAAATTGGTAAATATAAGTTTTATTTCAAATTGCTTGTTTGAATAAATATGTGCATACATTTAGGTGGTAGCTGACTGCTTTGTCTGTTTTATTTAAAAAAATGATTAGATGTACTTTAAGTAATGGAAATATTATTTGTGTTTTCTAAATGTAATGTTTATAAACTAGAGTGGGAACCACTAATACCCAACAATCACACATCCAGCATAAAATATACAGAGAAAATAACAAGTGACTTTTATAATATCGGAGGAGCATCATAAAGCAACATTAGAGATGTTGTCAAGCATATTAAAGCTGTTGATAAATTAGTAAACTCCAAAATTACATATGTATAAATTGACCAAATATTGATGCGACTCACAGTATAAAGTAGGTATTAAACCTTAACTCTGTAAAACTCTTTCCAGATATATAAAGCTTAATGAAATAATATATTTTTAATGCAGTAGCATAATCTCACACTGAAAAATCCAAAACTGTGACTACATTTTCAGTTCCAGTGTTTAGTTCTTTACAAAATTCAAATTTGTTGGTCTTTGATTATTATTTGATTATATACTTGTATTATTATGCCGTTGTCAATATGTTACTTGAAAAATGATTTCAAAATAATAATATTTCAGTTTATTGCAATAATTACTAGGACAATTTATTGTCCAGCAAAATTTGCTATTGTTTAAAACTATTGGTGTACTTTTTATTTTTATTTTTTAGGGCTTTGTTGTTTTTTTGTTTTTGTTTTGTTTTTTTTTGCTTCAATGTAGAAAATTGTTTTACCTTTAGATACAAAAAGTGTCTCTTTAAATTAAACCATATGTAATTAAACCTGTACTTGTTTTTTGTCTTTAATTAGAAAACAATTAGGCATACAGCATTGAACCAGTTAAAGCGTGAACCTGTGAATAGCCTATAATTTTTAACCAAAAAGAAAACCGAAACATCTTAATGCTATTAAAATTAAAATCAAACTTCGATTCAAGCTCAGACTTCCACCAGAGGTTTTAAATACATAAAAGCAACAGTTTTTGCTCTAAGCAGATGTTGATTTAAAGGTTTCTTATTCAGTAAATGACTGAATGTACTATTTTTTTTTTAAACATCTATTTGATTTTCTTTCACCCTCTCACAGGAGTCTATTGACGTTATTGGACCAACAACATACGGGCCAAATGAAGAAACCTCCCTGTTTCCTGGACCACAGACGCCAGTGGAAAACGAAGACAGAAGCATCCCTTCTCAGGAAGACGCAAGAAGCTTTTCTGCAATGTCCTTCGGTTCCGCTGGGGAGCACGGAAGAAGTGAGAACGGAAAAATTGTGTGTTCTGTGGAGGAGGAAGGAAAAATTTCCTGTCTCCCCCGTCAGGAATCACAAGTATCGAGCTCCTCTACCGTCGGCTTCAGTTCATGATGAAACTGGGGAGAATCGGTTGTGTCATAACGGACTTTCTGGAAGATAAAGCTGTATTTATTGACCCTAATGTGCCTGTAAATTTTCCTGAATCGATGTACATAAAGTTGAATCATTTGCTGTTGTTGTACTTAGATGTTGTACTTGTTGCAATGAAACACATTAATGCTATTGTTCATGTTTTTGGCGTACTGAAGCACTGTGTTATTATAGTAAAAACTGCATTAAATTTTATTCATGTTTTTAGAGGACGTGTGTACTTCACCCAAACTAGATACAAATAGTTTCAGCAGAGATATTTTACCTTAAAAATGTAGGGGTAACTAAGGAAACAGTTTGGCAACAACTACTTTGAGTCTCAGTTCAGCAAATTTGTTGGTGTAATATAAGTTTACCAAATTAACTATAGGTAGTAGTAATTAGACTGAGCCATTATGTGTTTTGAACTAACAAATAATACATCTATGCTAATCCTGTAAGAAACTATTCTCCATTATTGTTACTTGCAGAATTATGTATTGTTATTTTTATTGATATCTGGTTGTCTTGATAACATTATTAGCTGCAATTCTAACAGGGAAAATTAAACCACCAGATAAACATACTAGAACAAAAATTATGTTTATTACAACATAAGGAGACAATCAAATATGAAGGATGTTTTTCTGAGTGGTTTTTGAAGGAGTGAAGATAGAATCCTGACTTAAATCTGAAGGGAAGGATTGGTGGAAGCTAAAGATTAGGGTATTGGCAAGGAGGCCATCCAACCTAAATACATTCTGATTTGATATGAGCGCTTAGGTGAGGGGAGTTATTTCTCTTGCAGTTACCTCTTTTATCCTCAAAGTGGCGCAAGTGCGTTGCTATTAGTCGGGGACTGAGCTGCAGCTTTATATGAAGCGTTACGGAAACACCAATCCGGCTTAACATTATGACCGCTGACGTATGAATTGAATCAGATCGTTTTAGGGTAATGGTATATTCTTTTTTGTAAATTAACCCACACTGCCACAACTGGTTCAGAAATGGTTTGATGATCAGAAAAACTTTGAAATGTTCATTTTGTCTCCAAATCCCTCAGATCTACGTCCAATCAAGAATCTACTCCTAACACCTGTGTACCACAGCAGAACTCTCTTATTCAAAGTCTTTGTCTTCTGTGGGAACTTCTATTGCTTCAAGTTCAGATCTGAAGACTTTGATGCTTCAAAGTGAACCCGTTAGAGTCTGTAGGCCATTCTAAAATAATGTTTTTTGGAATTTAAATGTGATCTAAATTTTGATTATCTTTAAAATGTGTCTTTAATAGAGTCATGAAACATTTTTTAAATCATTTTCTAGAACAACTTCAATGAATCCCTGTGCTGATTGTGAAACTGTATCCATAGCTACATTTTGGCTCAGTGCATCAATTGCTTTACTATATTTACCCAAAAATAAAAAACATTAATAACTTAATTTTGACTTGAATACACAGATGGAATCAGCACATATATGTATATATTTTATCAGTCTAATAATGTAAAACTGTTAAATCAGTTTCCTGATTTTAAATATCATTAATTGTGCAAAATATACTTAATCATTACATAACATGAGTAAAAATGCAAAAAATATGAAAGGAAATTTACTGAAATAGTTTATAAAAGTGGTAAATGTGTGGTTTAAGTGAGCCATATTTTTTTTAGTTGACTTTTTTTCAAACAATCCTGTGATGAAGACATTCTCATAAATGCCTAATATATAAATTATGATACAAAAAACAAAGAAAAATGAAGATGTTAATGATTTTCTGACTATTGTTTCTTGTATCAGAAGTATAATAAAATGGATATTGATGTCTCAGTGAAACACTTATTTTATATTATGCTTTTATTTATAAACTTTTCTTTTTCTTGTCAGAACAAATGAAGACACCTTAATTTTAGAATAAGCCAAAGTTTATTTTAACAAAATACTTCTTTATGGTTAGACAAAGGAAATATAATTTACATCATCCAGGTGGAAAAATACATCTACATTTATTTACAGTGACAAAACATCCTTAGTCTTTGGTCTCCCAACAGATTCTTAAACCATAACAAACTTCAGGAAGTCTGTGAGGTTTTAAGGTTTAAAGTGCAATTTTGTTTTTTTTAACTGTCTTCTGATCAGCTCAGACTATTTCATGAGTGGTGTAGTAAGCTGGAACAAAGAGTCCACTTCGTGAAGCCCAGTCCGCCCACAGCTTCCCAGCAGGGTGGTAAAAACCATCCACAGGTTTCTTTGAGACCTCTGAGGTGGCGGTTTCTGCCAAAGACCAGATTTTGGGTTTCTGACTGACAATGTTCTCTTTGCTTTCTGGAGCAGATGATGTGTGGTCAGAATCGGTGTTTCCAGGTTTCTTCTCTGATCCAGCTTCCTGCACCTCCAAGCGCTCCTCTGCAGCTGCAGAGCGCTCCGGCTCAGGCTCATCTGCGGCTTCCTGCTCATTATGATGCTCTGCCTCATCATCTCGCTCCTCCAAGTTGCACTTCTGCAGGGGACCTTCCTCCTCGTCACTCTCCCCCTCCTGCTCCTCGTCCTCCTCATCCGATTTGCTTTTGGATGCCCAGCTGACCCTGTTCTCCTTCTTCAGGCGCCGCCTGGCGTTGGCGAACCAGGTGGAGACCTGCGTCAGACTCATCTTAGTGATGATGGCCAGCATGATTTTCTCGCCCTTGGTCGGGTATGGGTTCTTCAGGTGCTCGTTCAGCCAGGCCTTCAGCGCGCCGGTGCTCTCACGTGTCGCCACCTTGGCAACCCTGCCAAGCTCCTCTGCAGCTCCCAGACGGTAGGGAGGGTAGAGGACCCCACCGCGGGCCAGGAGGGCGTGATGATATGAAGAGGCGGCCTTCAGGTCAAAGCCACCGCTCTGGAAGACAGAAAGACGGAACATGAGAACAAGCTAAAGAACATGGAAGAAACCAGAGTCAGCCAAAAAGAGAAAGCAGGATTTCTTCTCCTGTTGGGATGGGCGCCTTAAGACCACTTGACTTTACACAAACCAGGTTTAAAAATACACCCAGTGTTCACATACTATTAGAATTCCTCATAAAACTTGTATCTGAGCCAGGAGACAGATATTATGTGTAATTATTTTTACATGAATTGAGCAGATTATGAACTTTTCTGTTGTTACTTGTGAACAAAACATCAAACGTTTCCTCCACTGCTTTCCCACATCTGCTCCACAAAACACCGAGCTTACAGACTAATGTACATTCAGCAATTAGTGAGAAATATGATCATGTAAAATGGTTATCAGGACAGCATCACGTTGAGCAGAACCCTGTACCTCATGGCATTATTTTGATCATTTTCTTCATAGCAACAAAAGTAAAATAAATTTATTAATAAACCGAATAGCTTCTTAACATCGCATAATGAACACCTGAGTTTAATGACCAAATGACTCCTTGTTTTATTTCCACATTCTTTCACTGACCAGCTGCATGACATAAAAAGAGTATTTCAATGAAATCAACAATGGTAATTTGCTGGTCAGAAGGTTGGGTTTAAAGTGGCAGTCATTGGATTAAATTAGGTGTTTTGGTTGGAGTTTTGCAGCATCCCAACTTTTTAGAAAGTGATTTTTAATACAATTTATTTACTAGAATCTTCCTAAAAACAAAGCTTACCATCTGATAATTTTTTTTGCTGGTATTCCAGCCCCACTACTCGACATTACATGTCCTTCTTATGATGGTTTTGATGATTCTACATAATCCCAACTTAAAAAAACAACAAAACAACTGATTTTTGCATTATTTCTTCATCATACCAGTTGGAAAAAGTACTGACTTTTTGCACTAATTGCTTCCCATATATAAAGTGATGAGCTTGGCAACAGGTCAACAATTGTTTATTCAGAGCGCACGCATGGGTTGCAATTGGAATAACATTTCTTTGTGCATTTAAAGAAAAACGAGAAGTCTTATAAGAATATCTTATGAAAGTTGAACTCACCATGTGCGCGATGTGCCTGTGGTGTGGATAAGGGAGAAAGTTGTATCCCTGAAGTCCTGAGTATGTTATGGGAACTCCAGCTGCCATAGCTGCCAGATGCTGAGCCTGTTGTTGCTGCTGCTGCTGCTGCTGCTGTACACCCGATGGACACCCCAGCACCGGGATCTGATATCCAGCCGGCATTACGAGGTTCCTCTCCAAGAAGAAGTTTCCAAATCCAGCTGGCGACGCGGGCATCTTTCCTGTTTCCCCAACTGTTCCTTAAAAAGTCTGTGTGGGACTCCAGCGTACCGGTCTATTTATATTCACAACCAGCTGCCCCTGTGTGTGAGCAAAGAGGAGGGGTGGGGTTGGGTGCAGGTCCCACTGGTATTGACTGACAACTCCGTTCAAAAGACCTCCAGCTTTCACTGGCAGCAAATCCCATCAAAGCTCTCCGCTGTCCCTTTTAGCGCTTCTTATCGACAGTTTCTGCAGGGGAGTCGCCCTTCCAATTTAAGTGCAACACTTTTGCATGAATGTGAAAACAGAAGACATTGCATAACTCATAAAATGATGCGTTAGTTTAAAAAAAAGACATTTAACATTCCCTCTAGTATGAGTTTACGCACAGAGTCCCCACTATTTGCAGGTCATGTCTATTCTAAGTGCTTAATTCGCTTCCCAGACCGTTTGATGTTTTATGAGGATTTTAACACATCTCATGTCTCGCACTGATCGACAAACACTTAAGAAAAATGTCTCCAATTCGGTTAGCAACCCCCTGCCAGTCTCTGCTGTGACACTTTCAGCGCCCACGCATCCCTCCTTCTGGGATTTTGATTAAACAGCGCAAAGGCATCGCACTTGCGCAAAACAACTAATAAGACTGCGCTTTAGCACAGTGGAGAAGTGTCACAAAAATGCACGTATGGCATTAAGAAAGGGGTTTGCCAATATAGCTTCCTCTGTGCGTAAAATCCATGCGCGAACCACAACAGTCTGCTCCTTCTGCATGAGGATGGCGCTTAGATTGTCCTAATTAAAACAAGGCTTGGGTAAACAGGTGTTGACTAATGTATATGATAATTGTGAAATAGCAGATGCAAAGCGTGAGTGTGCGTCAGAGATAAGAAAACAGATTACTCGTCTTATTGTTTCTCCTCGAACAATAAGGAGAGCATTAAATCTTAAAGAAAATCTTCTGCATTGTTTTTGACCGGGAACATTTGTGAAAAGTAAAATTATATATATATATATATATATATATATATATATATATATATATATATATATATATATATATATATATATATGTATTAGAATTTATGCGGATGGACTGTAAGTTCATCCGCAGAAGATTTTTTTATTTCTTTTGCGAACTTTTAATTCAAAATATTGATTAAAAATACATCCGTAAACACCGTGATGTTATTTCAGTCAGTTAGTTTAAAAACTAACAGATTTATATTCATAAATGTTTTTTTTATTCTGACTGAAAATGAATAGAGATTCCAATTTGACAACATAAATGGTTCAAATAGAAAATAGTTACAATTATCTATTTATTATCACCTTAATATTTTGGTTTTACTCATCAGGAGCAGGATTTAAATTAAGTAAATAAATGATTTTCTTTTTTGTTGTCTTTAAGAGGATTTCTGTCTGCTGAGTTCCTAAACTTTGAGAACTTTAATGCACAGTGTGTGTCTATTTAAAGTGCAGTTCGTTTCTGAAGTCAGAAACCCTTGATGTTTCCTGTTTCATGTCTGCAAAATAACTGTCACATTCCAAAGAAGCTGTGATTGCTTACTGTGCTTTGATGGTGCAACATTTCAGAGGCAAGGAGCTACCTTTTAACTTCATATCCTAAAAAGTCACCTGAGAAATAACTGCAATGTCTTGATTTCTTGTTAATTTGTTGTGTTTTGGCGCTGAAAGTTCATTCCAGTTAAAGGTGAGATATTTCTCTTCTGATTGCCTTAAAGGCTGGATTCTGTCTGCTGATTTCCTGATTAACTGGTAAAGGTTGTATAAAAATAGGACTGAATTAGATTGTATTCAGTTATATCTGACTGCATTGGATTGTCTGAAAGTGGATATCAATTGAATCAGTTTTTTATTGTTTATTTTATTATTAGGGTCCTTGAAAAAGCTTCTGCTGTAAAAAGCAAATACAAATGATACACATGTTGGTTTTATTAAAAGAAAGTAAAGGAAGTTTGCACAGTAATTTGAAAGAGATTGAAGCAGCTCAAAAAATCAATCTTTTTTTCCAGAATATCATTAAACTTGATTTTGTATGACAGAAAAAAAGCATTTTCACAAAATATTGAGTGCATGCATTTACGTAAATATGTCCAATACTAATTAACTGCTTTATTAGGTGTGCTTTTTTAAACACTATACTTCATTGAAGGACAAGTTCTGTATAAAGTGTCTTAAACTTTAATCTGAACAAAATTGTTCTGTGTTTAAATCTGTTTGGACATCATTTAGGATTTTTTTTATGTCGGGATATTAGTGTTAAATAAGAGCCTCAGAAATGAAGTTAATTTATATTCATGAAGAAAAAGTGAAGAAGGGATATAGATGACTCAGCTAAAACCGACTCAGCTAAAAGATTTCACAGATTTTTCATGCAAAAGTTTTAGTAAAATGGAAAAAATGGATTTTGATCAAGCTCCTCGTGATGACCTGTTCATATTGTTTTTCTGGATTGTAGTTTCAGATTCTCAAATTTGTTTTTCGTTTCTTTGACGTCTCACAGACCCAACAGGAAGGTAAGGCCGTGACGCAAGGAGGAAGAGCTGCTGTGGCAGCAACAGGAAAAAAAGTGGTAAAGGTGAAGGGAGGGGAGGAATTTATTAGGGTGGGGTCCACATAGCCCAAAGCAAATTTGTACAAGAGCAACAATGGGTTTGACCAGAGAGCAAAGAGAAAGAAGGCTTATGGCATTGCTAATCTTCATCTGCCAATCCAAACAGCTCAGGGCTGCAGCTTTTGTCCTTCTTGTAGAACTTCTTTCATTCTCTTCCTCTTTTGCCATCTCTGCCACAATGCAGGTGTTGGTCCTGCTCGGACAGGTTTCGACTGACCTGTTTGCTGTTGGGATGTTGGTCGTTTACAGGAGAGGAAAAAGTGGCCAAATGGAAGATGACTGCCTTCAGTGACTGAAGAGATCCTACGAGATAGCAAAGAGGATGAAATTAGCTTTATCTCTGGGAACCTGTAAGCCGGCGCTCTGTGTTGAAACTGCGCTTTCCGAGTCTTTCTTTATCTGCAAATCCTCTGCAGATTCCATGTTCTGATCGACCAAACAAAGAGCTGTGCTTTTGGATAAAATGCAGGATGACAGTGCGAGCGATCTGGCAAACAGATAAAGACAATAGCTGTAGGTGTGAGCTCAGTTGAAGGCCATCCCCTACCTGCAGGCTGACAAAAGGAACTAAACATGCAATTAGAATAGCTCATAGATGGGTGTGAATGAGACAACAAAAGATGGCAGTGAATCCACACCGTCTTTGACACATTTTGCTTGTTAGTTTATTTTTGTGGGACTTGATGCTAAATCAAAGCAACATGACAAGACCTTGTGCATCTTATCTATAGGATGGGACGGGGTTAAGCAGTTCTGATCTGACATAATTCAATTCAAACGTAGAGCTGTTGTATTTTATTGATTTATTGCAATGAGTGCAATTTTGATAATTCAGTGTCAAAGATGACTTGATGATTGTCCAACAGACAGGGTGGTAATATAAAAACGCTGGATGTTTATAGAGTGCTGTATCCAAGATATTTAATAGAAAGTTTAGTGTAACAACAGGAATAACTTTTGACAACGCTTCTAAAGTATAAACACTAGAGACACTAGAGGCAACTAGGAATCCAAGCTGAAGGCGCTATACTGCATTGATGCAGTGATTTTTGCAACAGGGTCCAAAACCAAATACTGAGTTCATATGTTGTAAAGTATATGTGGATTATTTTTGAGCAGATTGAAATTTCTGTATTTTTAAAACCCTTTTCTATTTGGTCTTCAGCAATTTTCTTATTTTCTATAAAACCAAATGTTGTTTTGTCAAGAATAGCTGTCATAAAAAACAGAAATAAACACAGGGAAATTATTATTGCCCGTGTGATTAATCTATAACTTATATAACATATGTAGAACTAATAACCAAACTGCGTTGTGTTAAATCATAAAAAAGTGGAAGAAAATGTGTACATTTGGGGAGAATTTCTTCACTGAGAAGCATCTGACTCAGTTATCTGTAATTACATGCTGCTCTCCATGCAGCTCCCTTGTTCCTGCCTAATAGGATTTTCCTGGTGTTACCGACACAAATGGGAGATGTAAGCAAAGTGTGAATGTTATCAAGCTCTCCCACCTCTTCACTATCTGACCCCCCCTCATTTCAGGCCCCCTTCCACTCTTTATCCTTTGTCATTACTCTTATCAGGGCCACTCTATCATTCTTTGAAAATAGTGGAGGTACTGAGATGTAAGCATGTCTTTGTTTAAGGCCGGCCAGCGGCCCGCCTCCCAGCTCCCTCCTGTGTGCAGGCTGATTGACGGCCCTCTGCTGGGTGAGTGACAGCCAGCGTTGGTTTGGACTGGAAGGGCCGCTGTGACAGCTGGCGCTGCTGCCTTTAGTGTGGGGCCCCGCCTGGTGGGGCCCCTACACAGGGCTCCACAGCTTGATTCCTGTAGCCCCGGTCAGTGCGGATCCCCCTGGTGTGTTTGTCACTACAGATCAGCTTGTTAGCTCCCTGCTTCTTCAAGCAGTTGTAGGTTTTTGTTGGAAATATGTCCAATCTGATTCCTCATCAGATGTAATTTAATTCAAAGCTATTTTATTTATCAGGGCAAGAATCTCTGGTAGCAGTCAGTCTTGCAACAAATCTGAAGAGCCCTCTGACTGAAGACTGTCATGGCATGCTGACAGCTCAGAGGAACATGTCCTGGATGACACAATTAAACCATCTTAAGACATTCCTTTTCTAAATAAAAGTATGATTGACCATTTCTAGCGAATGATGCATCTGGAGCTCTTTCTGCAGTGTAGAGCTGATCTGTTAGTTATTTTTTGGACTAACCAATTAATTAATTTTCTTATACAAAATATGAACCATGTGAAGTTAACTCTATACCACTTGATGAATTCTGGGTGTAACTTTTTGTAAATCTTAAATGCAAAATGTATTTATGTTTTATACAATTTGGCTTAACTACTACACTGAATATACTGTTTTTTCAGTATTTTTTTTAAATTAGTTGACAATTATGATTCATCATGATTAATAGTTTCACCACCAGTAAGGATTGCTCCAGGACTCCAAGTTAACTCCAACTTTAATACGACTTCCAGTTCATTTTGAAACTTTGACATTCTGACTTCTGAGTAGAAATTGTGCGCTTTAAAACTACACAACCCAAAGTTTACTGTGTAAGTTCACAGAACATTATCAGATTCATGTTACCATACCTGAATCCCGTGAACAAAGTGAAGTTCATCCATCCATCATTTTCCGTCTAAAGCCTCACAGAGAGTAGCTAATGAGGTTATTGAGCATCTGTGACGTGACATCTACATTTTGGCCATTTGTAAAACAATAGCAACAAGGAAGCCCGGGACATTGGGCCCAGTGCTGTCCCAACTCAAAATAACAAAGCTGAGCAGGCGCTGGTGGGAGGCTGCGCTCTCATGGAAATGAGCAACCGAACCAACAATGTAGCGCCTAATCTCCTCAGTGAGGGGAATCAGTTACACAGCAGTATGCACCCCTCAATGCTTTTCATTAGTCAGTGTGCTACTGAAACAGTCCCTCCGGCCTCCCGCCTCGCATACAAACACACACACACACACCAACCCACATGTGTAGCCACAGAACTTGCACATACATGCACTAGAAACAAGGTGCCACCCCCCCATTCTCCAACACAACAGAAGGGTTAAAATAAGTGGGGCAGAGGCCTGGTGTGGGGGTGCAAGGCCTCAAAGCATGGGATTAAAGTTAATGTGCCCTCCCTGGGTTATAATCTCTTCAGAGGGGGACTTTGTTTGAGGGGCTTGAGGGCAGTGAGATAAGTATCTATTACAGAAACTCCCCTCTTATCCCTCCAACATCCCCGCTTCAAAAATGAAGCACAAAAACACTTGCCTCTGTTCCCCTCTGTGCCGTCTGATATCTAAGATCCAAAAGCAAGTGCTGCCCCTTTTTCAGCTAATCAGGAATTAGGAGTCCAAAGCTGTACGGAAGGTCGGAGGGGCCATATTTACTCCATCTGCAGCCCACAAAGTCAGGTAGTTAAAATGAGATCAAAGCTGCTCGGAATCTCAGGTTATTGGGTAGAAACGAGGGAAAAAAGTAATAATACCATCTGAAGTTGCTGCGGATTCCAGCAACTTCAGATGGTATCTGTCCATGAGGTATTTAAAATAAACTATGTCAAGAAACACTAGAAATCAGTTTTATATAAAAGAAAGTTTAATTCAAAAATATTTTTTATGATATAAATATGGTGAAAAAATTATACAATGTTCAGATTACACAAATTAATAAGGCAAACTGCAAAAAAAATGTGTTTCAGTTTTAAAATAAATTAAAATAATGAAAATTAGAACAGTGCTTTTTTGTTTTGTTTTACAAATGTTGACAAGAACTTTATTGTACAGAACATGGAAAAACATTTTTATGAATTTTATTCCAAGTAACAGAGAACAACAATGCCATAAAATGCTAAACATGCAAATTAATGACTGAAATGCAACACTTTCAATAATCTTGTCTTTGAAAACTCTGAACTACATGTTTCTTTGCAACAATTTGGAAAGATCAGAAAAGATTCCCCAAAATTGTTCCAAAGAAAATTTCTTGTTTATGTAATTATAGTAATGACTCATAGCAGGGCAGTTAGCTTCCTCATTGTACCTGAGGCCAGATTTGTTAGGATTGTTCTTGTGGGATGTTTTTTATTACACTGTAATAAAAGGCTACATTTTAAAAATATATTTAGAATAAAGTTTAAAAAGGGTTAAGTATTAAAGTAAGGTCGGACTGAATTTTTTCCACTTTGCCTTTTTGTGTTAAATTAGTGAAGAAGTTTTCCTTATACCACTTCTAAGTTGTAATGGTGCTCCAAATCTTTTAACAATAATACATTTTTGTCCTTAATAAAAAGTGAAGCAGGTTTAATCCTTGTGACAGCAGCATTTTTGACATGTCACAAATCAAAGGTTTATTTTTTTTAGGTTATGAATTCCTAACTTGGCACGTTGTAAAGTTGAGTGGATATTGTCTTTTGCAAAATGTTCATATATTTTTTAGGAACAAAAATTTGAATGAGTGTTTCAAATAGCAATAAACTTATTTAATATAATTTTTTTTAACAGAATTGTGGGTTCATTTTCTCATCATTAATTCCCTGCAAATTTTATCTAAAATAAAATATATATTGAAAATGTTCTCCTGATCAGATTTTGAACTCAGGACACGCTAAGAAACTAAAACACTGACAGTCTTACTTGGTGTCTGCAGAGAAAACTAAATTCCAGAACATGATCAGTAACTAATTGTTTTTCCACTCACCTCCAACCTCTCCCAAATTACACTAAATGAAAATGTTAAGCTCTGAGAATCCTGCAGCCTGAACTGATGTGACCCTGTAACACTTTACATCATAAGTAATATTTAGTAACATTCATTAAAACCTTGCAAATTCAAAATATTTCAGCGAATAGCATAATGTACATACGAATAAAGCAGCACTTTCAAATTTGTACTTAACATTGCAGCATCTATGTTTCATATTACCTTCTAGTTGTGTCATTAACTGTTTCCAGGTTACGCGTCTGCTCATATTATATGCAGTACTGCTTGGTCCGTGTGTGTGTGTGTGAATAAGGACAGTTAAATGTGTGTTTTTCCTCAGCGGGAGAACTTTCTGGGCCTGAAAGGAGGAAGGGCGAGCTGATGCGTCGCCGTCCTCTCCTCCTCTATCGGAGCCAGCTCCTCCGCTGAGCCCCATTTCTTCTTGGAGTGAAACAACGACACCAACTTCCTGTTCTTGTTCCTCTCCCTGGCCTGAGCGACTTGAAATTCTGCAACCAAGAAAAGTGAGAGATCGTAGTTGATGGAGATCCGCAGTATCAAAACGAAACTAAAATCCATCAGGATTCTGCATGTGACATTATTGAAATGCTTCGTAATGGTTTCTACTGGTTTTACTTTCTGAACTCAATCAAGAGATTAATTCCTCTGCTCAGAGAGTTGGAGGTTATTTTGTAAATTTTCTTAAACAATCCCAAATATATCAACTCAAAATGGCGTCTGCAAAAAGCCAAACTGGAAACTTCAAAATGATGGAAACCAGCAATAGATGTTTTCTAAGATATCAGTTTAGATGTTTTCCATCTTAAATTAGTCTCACTTAATTATATTGTTGCTTCAGGTGAAGTTCAAGATCATTTGTTGACTTCTTAATTAAATAAACTGTTTATAAGAAAGAATTTAAACGTTGGGTTACAAATAATCCAGTGAATTCAAGCAAGTTTCCCAACACTGAGAGTTAAAACAGTTGATTTTATTTTGCAATCAACATATTTTTAAATGTAATCTACAGAAATGATCTTAAATAACATAATTTAAAATAATACCACCATGTAGACAGGGACCAATTTCTGGTATCAAGACAGAAAATGCCATGGTTTCAAAATCTAAAATAAAATTCAGTCACACTTTTATTAAAATTCCAATTCCTTTTAATAATATTTCCTTACATGAGGATTTATAAGATAGTGATTCCCCTCTCACACTGTGAGCTGGCAAAGAAAAAAATACAACAACAAAAAATCTCCTACATTTTAGAAATAAATATTAAAAAAAACCAGAGATGATCTCTATAAGTCTTAAAACTCAAAGCCGTTTTTAATTCAAAGAGTTCAGCAGGAAAAAGTAACGAAACACTCACGCAGGTCGCAGTCCTCCTGGGGACCTTCAGGGTCTTTGATGTTCAGATAATGGCCGGGAAGTCGGCCGCTGTAGTCTCGGACGTTTTCTTTTGCCCCTGATAACATGAGAAATAAATCCCCAAAACACAGAGAGCGGTCAGGAAAGACAGGCCGCAGATAATCTACTTTACTGACACCTTACACCAATGGCTTATCGCGACAATCTGAGATCTGAAGGTAAACAACACTTCCTGGAACCCGATGCTGAGCAGCTAGTAAGGCAGCACTGACATTGTAGTAACATGTAAAAAATGCACAATTTAAAGTGTGGTTAAACGTTTACCATAAGTTCCAATGAGTAGATCAAGAATGTGACGATGGCCATGCAACGCTGCAATGTGCAGAGGTGTGTATCCCTGCAGGGGAAGAAAAAAAACTCCAAAATGTTCATAAGGAAGCTTTGAACATGTAGAACCTCTAAATATAGCAGTTGCATACAAAAAGTTGGTTAAAGCTTTAGCTTTAGAGAGCAATTCTGCTGAAGTAATGGAAGGTTTTAGTACCTACCCCCTTGAGTTTCCCATGTCCAAATGCATCCAATGAAAACATCATGGAAAAAAAAAAGATACAAATTAGGAAAGGTTATGGAAACACCAGATAATGATAAAAACATAATTGCTCAGTAATTCGCTGAAAATTGCACAGCCGTGGACTTGCATGCTGGCAAACAGGGGCTCTGTTTTGGGAGACAATTAACATGACATGACATGATTTATTAGCGGCGTCCTCCTGCGGCCCAACCGCTCTCTGCTGTAATCCATTTGCACAGCTGGATCTTCACAGAGATTTTTAAGGAGCATTACATCACAGAGGGGAGGGAGCATAGGGTGGGCAACGCAGCAACCTTTCAAGTCAAATGGCCTACTGTACTGCACATCCCTGTCACCGCCAGATGAAAGGCTGGTTACTCACATGCTGCAAGAGAGAAGAGCGCCGCAATTAGATTGGTGCACAAAAATAAACAAACTGTGTGCGCACATTTTAGATGACAGGCATAAACAGGATGAAGTGAATATTTAAAAATCATTGATATTAATCTACGATTAGATATTAATCTGCAATAGCAGAATGAGCTATTCTGCTATTGGTTTTAAACATAAAGGTCTGTGTATTAATTGCTTTAAATCTATATTTCTACAGGGAAAAAAGGTAAAACTGGAGCTTAATTTTACCAATTTTACATTTTTCTTGGAGAAATTACAATGTGAGGTTGAAAAAAAGCAGAAAAATGAAAGAGAAATCTCATCTAAGCTTAGGTTATTTAATACTGTGTGATCTTCCAGGAATTTATGGCTTTATGAGTCTGACTACAACTGGGAAATATACATCTTTTACCATCCTGTTAATTTTGATGTAATACAGCATATCTCCTTTCTTTTACTTTACTTTGGTTTTAATTAGCTCAGATTTGGACATCTGGTTTTCTGGTATTGGATATGTAACTGCAAGAAAACAGATCTAGTCAAAACTATAATAAAAACTTTTTATGTTTAATAATTAAGTCACCCTATTGTAGCTCTTTGTTCTTTCAATAAGCTATAAAACTATCAAGGAAAATGTTGTTTTTGTTATGTTGAAATCTTCCACTAACTCTAGTTTACTACCAGTTTAAATTAAATTCATACATGTTTACAAGTTTAGCTTATGCCTTGCCTTGATGAAAAAAAGTTCTATTGACACTTTTAGTGTCCAAAGCAGCAGACTTTCATTTATCTTTGCCTGTTTCTAGATGATAAAATATTAACTATAACCTTAGAGTGAGCAGGACCAATCAGACCAAGCGTAAAAGAAAACAGCAGAAGGTAGAGAAACAGTTTAGCCTGGACTTGACTTTCTTATTTGAGGTGGGAAGCAGGAATTAATGTTGTACAGTCTGACCTCAGCAGAACACTCGCTATATTGTTCCACTGTTTAAGGAGATCAAGCATGTTTACCAAGGAATCTATTGTGGTTGTGTGACTAAGGGCATGTTTGGAGCCAGAAGGCTGTTGTGCTGTCAGGAAATATCACCCTAATACAGTGAATTCAGTGCCTTGCAAAAGTAAACATAACACTAACTTTATATATAGATATATATATATGTGTACACGATACAACCACCGTGTAATTAATTGTGTTTTATGTGATCCATGCAAAATGCAAGATAGTTGTGTTACAAAAGGAACATGATAAATTGCTATTAGAATATTTGAAAAATATGGCGTCCATTGGAATTTTTCATTTTATAACTACATTTTGCTGCAATTGCAGAATCAGAAAGTCTTTTTACGGCGCATTCACACCAGTCCTGTTTAGTCCACTTTAATCAGTTTGTTTATCTTGAAAGCCTGGTTCATTTTGGGAGGTGTGAATGTGCAATCAAACCCTAATGCGGACCAAAAAAGTGAACTCTGGTCAGCCCAAAAACCTACATCTTGGTTTAGTTGAAGTGACCTCTGGTGCGGTTGAATGCAAATGGAGAGCTCTCCAAAAACAGGAAGCTGACTATAGTACATGATTAACTATTGACTATTACCTTAGAGTTAGAGTCTAACAAATTTACTTACTGGCAGTGGAAGCCACAGTTTTGCTAATCCACAAATGAGCTAAGAGCGGAGCATATTTTTTTGTTTATCGCTTTAGTGTTCTTGCTAACTTTGAAAATGTTTAGCACATTTAGCTTCCTCTAATTATTTTTTCAAAAAAAAAATCTAAAGAACAATTTTTTTTCTTTATGTTTTATAAACTTTGGCAATTAAGCAAAAAAGCACCAGAGTTAGCAAGACTCAACAACTACTAAACTGAAACTATGAGTGAAAGGTTTGTTCCAAAGAAACACTTCATGAAGCGCAACCAGGCTGATATGTGTGTAATAACAAATTTGATCCTTTGGATGACGATACAACACGATCAAATTTAGTGCTTTAGCATTAGCTTCTACTAAATAGCTTGTTTGTATAACAATTTAGCGTTAGCAGAACTAATGTTGATAATTAGCTTTAGGGTTAGCACAAGTAGCTTTTTAAATAGCAGTGCCGAACACTGCTGAAGGATAGAGGCTGTGAATCAATGTATGCCACATTTTTCAGAAATTTATTTAATGGATAATTTTTCTCCCACTTCGTGATTATGTACTACTTTGCATTGTTCTACCACATACAATTGCAATAAAAGACAGAAATTTGTGATGTATTATGTAGCACATGACTTATTAAGAGTCTGTAAATCTTTGTTTCAAACAAAGCCATTTACTCTAAAAGATTTGCATTAAGTCTAAAGAGATCCACCTAAAACCTCTCTTTAAAAATGTTACTTACAGATTTAGTGTTGACATCTGCTCCAGCGTCAGCCATTAGAACAGCCATGTTCTCGTTGCCGTGTTTGGCGGCCCAGTGCAGAGCGGTCTGTTTGCAATAGGGATAAAAAAAAAAAAAGGTGTTACACATATAACAACTGTTGTATCATTTTTACAAGCTGCCATGCCTCTTATTGGCTGTCAGAGGTCAGAGGTCCAGGTGTATGTAGAGAGGGGTCTATGCATGGAGGAGCGGTAAGAAAAGGGGAAGGTTTCCTGCCATCTAACGCAGCCTAATTACAAAACAACACAGCACTGTGCCCACAGTTGGAGGGCCTGGCCGCCTGTCACCACACGGAAAGATTGATGATGTTAGTGTGACCCCGGGGAGGGGAGACCTACCCAGACATCACAGCGCTACTGTCAGCACACGTCGAGGACGGAAACCCGAGCCTCTGTTCGCACAACAGACACACCGGCACGCAATGTCGCTCGGATGTGAAAATAAAAACACACATGAACCAATAAGGCAGAGTGAAAACACGAGTTCCACCGTGTCCACCTGCCGGACCGCAGCTGTGATCCCCTGTGTCTCCTACACACTCAGAGATGTGTAATTATGGGCTATCAACAGGTGAAATCTGTGTAGGTGCAAATGTCAGCTCGGTAACCACATCCATCCCTTCTGCCATCTGACCCTTCACACAGCAAATCAAACAGCAGCCATTTCACAATTGCATATTAACAGTGGTGGATGGAAAAGCTTTGACCTCTGGTTGTTACTAACTGAGCATGTGCTGCTGAGGAACAGCTCCACAGTTTATTCACCAAACAAGATGAAAGCAGTAACTTATTTAAAGGGGCAGTGTTAGGTATTTTCCAGACACATAGAGCCGTTTTATAGCACAATCAAGTAACTATGTTCAGTTGCTATAAAAGAAATGTGAGTATTTTTAATTTAATGCCTTGAAATTGAGTTTTTGTCTCTTTAACCTAAGATTACAATTTTTAGATTAAAGAAAACAACATTCTGCCATAGAAGCTGAGGTACGAATCTTCAGGACAATTATAATTTGCTTGTTTTCATAATCCAATGATAAAACTGTACAACTGTTCATTGTTATAGACTGTAAAATATATTGTATGATCCCATGCATGTAAAAACTATTCACCCTCTTGATTCATTTGTAAAAGCAATAAAAATGGTAAAACATCCAGCAGGGTGAGAACTTTTTATAGGCACTGTGTGCAGCTTAATGGGATAAAAACTGAGGCGACAGATGTTTTTCTTATTTTACATTCCTGTGTGGCAAACACAAGCCAAATAGTGATTCTTTTATTGCTGTCTGAACGAGTCTTTTTCTCTTTACAACCTCTGATCGCAATCATGTACAACAGGCTCATCCAGCAGCCAATGACAGAAACATTAGTTTTTCGTTTGGCTCCATCTGAAGCTCAGATTGTGACAGACGCAGTGTGGTTGGAGTATCTCCTGATCTTCAGTGTCACATCAGAAGACAGATCGTCCAAAGTGCTGCTTTACAGGCAGCTGGCTGGGCTTCCCGGTGAGCAGGAATGATGTACGAGGCCCAAAACAGGATGCGTGTTCCCTCGTTTCTGTTCCTGTTTCCCCCACTCCCACTCCCACCCAGCTGTCGGATCACTCAGGGGACAGCACTGAGTCTCCCAACGAAGAAAGTGGTGGCCAAAGAGGACTCATAGTGACAGAAGCACAAAGACCTGTCTGGTCTGGATGTGGAGGAAAGATGGAGAGGATTGATGGGGAAGTGATGTACTTACAAACTGTTTGTGGGAGGAAGTCCGTCACAGCAGGAACGGAGGCATGCGTCACATGGAGGAAGAGAAAAATCTGGTGAAACTTTGATGAGAACTAAATTCAGATCAGATGAGTTGGTCCACCTTAAAGACTTAAATGTGCCCAAAACATATTAATGCTCATTCAGGTTTTTCACATTTTACTACAAAATAACTCCAAACTTCAAAGTATTTATAGAACAACACAAAAAAGTGCACAATTGTAAATTTGAATCAAACGGGATAAAAAAATTCTTCACAATTAAAAAAAACGTATTCGGTTGTTGATCATATGACTCGTGTGATGAGAAAAATGGAGTTTGCAAAATACACTCATTTTAATACAGATGACAACTTCATCCCAGATCAAAAACGTTTTTGTCAAAAAAAAATGTGAAATTTTCAAAACTGACATGTTTCCATTAAGCAAATTTATTTTCACAATTCCAATTATGGCAAAAGGAAATGCCATAATTTTTGCTGTCCCAAAAGAGCTGAATCACTTCAGGACTCATATTTTCACAAAAAAAATAAATAAATAAATAAAATTGGTAATTATCAAAATTGGAGTCGGCAAGTAGATCGGCATTTTTTTTCTACAAAATTTATGATTAATCTCAAAATTTCTGAGCATATTTTTAACTTTTGAATCTCAGAAATAACCAAGTTTTTTCTAGAAAATTTCTGAGTTATTCTGAGTAAATTATAAAACTTTTGGAGCTCAGATATTGCCTGGTTTTTTTCCTAGAATATTTCTGAGATGAAATACAAAATTTCTGTTTTTTTGGTGAAAATTTACTCCATTTTTTTCTATATCTACAATAACACTACAATATGGCTCCAATAACACTGTCATAGATCTGACTGAGTTTTAGAGATTTTACAAAGAAGTTTGATCAAAAATCAAACTTCTTATTCCTACAGAGTTAGTAAAGTCCCCAGTAGATTTATAGCTGTGAGATTGTAATGAAAGGTGGATCTATAAGCATTGACTCAGGTGAGCTGAATATAAATGCATGACAAAAAGTAAAATAAAAACAATATATTCTGCTCTTTCTATTTGACAATTCTGTTACTCCTTCCTATAAAAGGCAGCAGTGACAGCATCAGGTCTGTTTCTTAGTTTGTAGGTTCTGTTCAGGAGAGTTTTGGGAGACTGTTTTGATTTTCGGTATCTGCCTGTGTTATCTGCACCTCTGCTGAGCAGTGTCAGGTTGAGGGCTGAAACATCAAAGAGCCCTGAGGGGGACTTAGCACCTTCCCAGGGACACATGCAGCATTGTTCTACAATTAATCCCAGCCTGCTCTATTACTTTCAGATTATCTTTAAATGGGCAAAGTCTTTGTGAGGCATTAAGACTCTCCTTAATCTGCACCCCGCCGCCTCCCCAGCTCCCAACACTTCAATGGCAGCCGAGCTATCTTGTCCACGGTGGAGATGGCAGAGGCTTAGGGCGACTCTTAGAAGGTGGTCTGCCATGGCCACAGGACGGTGTGAGAACTGTGACACGAGGGGAGGGACAACAAACATGAGCTCAAATCTCTTAAGCGCACTGGGAGACAAATAAAGGGATTTAGGTTGTCAGGGGGCCACAGGAGCTAAAAAGCTATCTTTCATAATCCTTTTGATAGTAGACCTTTGAAATGCATGATCTGGATGCTCTGAGGAGAAAGACTGTTGGCGGTGGATAAGTAAAGAGCAGGTTTGAGGCTGGGGAAAAGTGTTAAAGACAGTAGAAAGTGAACTTGAACAGATGAGGCCTTTTTTATTTTTAAATTATGGATGGAACTTACCCCCTGAGAGCAGTGGTTATGGTCACAATCAGCAGCCATTATGCGTCGGAATGAGGGAGTGAAAAGCTTCCGGTTAAACAAGAATCCAGAACAGAGGTGATAATAACTCTGCAGCAGGCTAAAAATCCCTCAATATACTCACAGAGGTGAAGTCCTGGTTTCAAGAAACAAAAAAAAAAACATGAATGAATCAAATTGTACATATTTACTAATTTCATTTTTTAAAGAGATGTGTATGATCAATTCATTCCATCTGTATTTCTCACATGTGCAGTTTTATCTGTTTCATACCCAATTTGTTCAGGCAGGAAAAAGAGTCACCTGCAAGTTTATTGGGACATTTTGTGCCTACTTTAATAACCAATGACCTAAAGACACTCAATAAACTGAACTTAGTTACTTAATTCATTAAATCACTTGAAAACCAGGAAAACCACATATTAAACCTTTATGTACTGAAACTTCAGAACAACGCAAATCTATAAATGTAAATCTACAAGGTAAAGTAGATGTGTTACACTTTCAGTTAGAAAAGGTTCACATAAGCAAGAATGTCAGAAAATAGAAATTCCAAACTGAATGTTGAATAGAACGCCCTGTATCAGCACAACCGTTTCTGAGCCACAGTTAGGCTGATATGTGATTAAAATGCACTAATCAGTCCCTCCTGTTATTGCAAATTCACTTATCAGTCACTAATTTTGCACAAACTTGCAATTTTCACCCGTCATTGTAACTTTTCTGCAAATCTGACCTGTCACCTCAATGTTTTCTGTACATCCTTCTTGTCAGACCAATCACTGCAGCTTGTTGTGTATCACATAATTTGTTACCTTGCCACGCCTATTAGCTACACTTATACTTCCAAAACAAAGAATTCTAGCTTTATTTCTTTGATTTATTGCAGCTGCTCTTTCGAAGCCAGGCCATAAGGAGGTGCTACCTTTTTATTTGCCAGTGAGGGTTCCTGCATGAGCAGCTGCGACAGGTCAGGCACTCGAGCGCTGGCAGCGTGGTAGATCCACTCTTTCTCTGTAGGATCCAGCTGGAACAGAAACACACATCCTGTTGGGGACTCTTTTTGACAATGCTGAGACCACAAACCTCTAATCCATTTCCTACAAGCGGCAGAGCCAACTGACACATAGTGGGAGACACCCACGATCACGCGCCGCTGAGTTCAAAACTTTTACTCCTCATATTTGTTTAACGGGGACCAACACCACTGGCAAGGTGGACTTTATTTGCAAGAGGCAAACCTTAAAAAGGTCATTCTGAATGTTCTGAATGTAGACAAAAGTAGAGCAACTTTGACTTTGTGAACTGTACTGTTAATATGTTTTACCTCCTTGGTAAATATTAAGCAAAGGGAAGAATGTTGGAAAAAGCATTACAGGGACTTACGGCGACAGAAGCAGAGCCCATGCTGCCTGTGGACTCCTCATCATGCTCCGACTCCGACTGAAAACACAAACCAGAGCATTACTCATCTGTGACAAAAAAGCTGATCTCTGACATAGCTCAACTGTCCTGGGCCAGACACACACACACACACACACACACACACACACACACACACACACACACACACACGCACGCGCACTCACTTCCACACACTGGTCACACTGCTGTGATGTTTTCCAGTTGATGTGATGCGACCAGAGGGGTGTCAGACAGATAGGGAGGTAATGAGAGAGCGAGACAGAGGTGAAGCTTTCACACATAGGCGGTAATAAATAACAACCCGATTAATAATTAAGAAAAAAGAAGGCAAAAAGGTTTTTTCATCCATTTAGAGCTCAAGAGAAAACATCAGCCGTTTATAAAACTGTCCTTAGGCTGATTTATGGCAAATAGGAATTTTCTCTTTCTCTTCCCGACTCTTTTGAGGAACTCGCAAATTGTTCTCAGATCACACAGACGCATGACGGTAAAACAGTGAGTCCTTTAATGTCTGCCACCCCAACTGCCACATGTCAGCATTCTGAACACGAAAAGTGGAGGCTCGGTATTTATCCAGCCTTTTCCAGTCTGACAAGTACTTTTTTTCATCCCTTCTGGTAGAAACCAGTAATAACAGGCAGAAGAAACAAAATAACATTGGTAGTCATGAAAGGATGGAAAGAGAGAGAGGGATCAAATGTTCTCTCAGCATTTTCCCATTTTATTAAAACCGCAACAGCTTCTGGCCTAAAGCGAGAAATTGTGTCATCAGCTATTAAGAATAGCTTCTGCTCCTATTTGATGTCGGTTGTCAAAAGTAAAATAATCCATCATACTTTTTCAAGGCTCAATGTAAAATATTTAGGTGATTTCTTGACACCAATTGTGTTCATAAAAAACTTTAACTTATTAAAACGGGGAGCATTATGCATTTTCTGACACATAGTGCCAATTCTTAACATAATCAAGTTACTATTTAACCTTATGGAAATGCTACGTATATAAGATGTGACTTAAAAGGAAATTTGATGTTGCAATTTGACCTCTTTTTTAACATTCCCCCTTCAGCGCAATGCTTCTCCATTATGTTGTTTACAACTTTTCTTAAGAGCACTGGATTGAGAAGTAGTTTCTATGATAAGCTAATTAGACTCGCGCTTCCACCAAGCGTTTGCTAATTGCTGCTGCCGCTAGCTTAAAGCAGAGGTGCCCAAAGTGGGTCCTGGAGGGTCGGCATCCTGCATGTTTTAGTTCTCTCCCTGGTTTAACGCACCTGGATCAAAGGATGGCTCATTAGAGGCCTAAGAGGAACATTGACAAGCTGAAAAGGTTGTTACTATCACCAGGCAGAGAACTAAAACATGCAGGGGTGTCCAAAGGACCGACTTTGGACACCCCTGGCTTAAAGGAACAGAGTGTGGTGTGTGTGTGTGTGTGTGTGGCGGGGTGAAGGTGGCAACAGTCCAGGTATGTTCTTGACAAGAGAGAGACATTAAAACAAGATATAAAGCTCAAAAAAGTTGATTTTGCATAATATTCTCACTTCAAAATATAAAAAAAATTTACACAATGAATAATTGGTATGTTTTCAATTAAGTCTAAGACGTTTAAAATAAAAAAAATGCATGACAGTTTAAGTGGGTTGACAATTGCTGTGATGTAAGTTATGCATGTTTTTTAATTACACATTTAAGATGTTACCAGTGTTTGTAAAAAAAATCATTTTATATAAATAGTGCATGACCACAGAAATCTCTAACTCCATTTAAAACATCTAATGATATATTTTAATTAGTAAATTTGCATCGTGTTGTATTCCTACTGATGTATATAGCTTATATAATATAAGTGACCTCAGTCTAAGCAGAGCTGGAGCCTGAGGACAGCAGGTCCTAAAGCAGTTACAGTGGTGAGTCATACTCTTGATAAACACACTTAATCCAGTTTAAGAGTTACATTAACAAAGTCCAGCATGTTTAATGTTTCCACTGTGAAGGTCATGAGAGCCACATGCTATTTTTCTGTGGGTCAATTCTCTTTGCAGTAATGAGCACAAATGGCTATTATCATTCTAACACGCTCCACCAATGCTGCTGCTTAGCATAACAACAGGCAGCTTCATTTATATTCAGTTTTTATCCACACTTAGTCTCTTCACTTTCTGCTACAACATTCTGGAGTATAATGATCTGGGTAATTTACTTGGCACCACCTGGTGGGTAAAACAAGGAATCACTCAGGGCTGTGAAGGGTTTTCTTGCCTCTAATATGTTTAGATTGATGCCAGAAGCTACCCATGGATTACATTTTTGACTAGCGAAGTTAAGTTAATAATAGAAGCACTATAAAATGGAATCACTCCTTTAAGATGTACTACCCTCTTTATTGCTTTTACAAATTAATCAACAAAATATTGTTTGTAGATAATCCTTGAATGTCAAAGTAAAAATTGATTTCTATAAAATAATACAATTACATACAAATATGCAACATCAACTAAGTTATTACATAAATATTAGTAGCAGATGCAACTTTAGTTGCAAGCTCAGGCTTGCACTTCTGGACATTCAAGTCCAGCCACAAATTATCTATCAAAATTATGTCTGTGCTTTGACTGGGCCACTCTAAACTATTCATCCTGTTCTCTTCAAACCATTCTGGGTAGCTTTAGCTGGATGCATCAAGTCATTGTCTTGCTTCTCCGAAGCTGAGAAGCTGTGCAAATAGAAACAAATTGTCCTCCAGCATTTCCTATAAATTGCTAAATCCATTGTATTTTCTGCCTTTCACTCATTGTGAAACTACTAGAACCAATTGTCTGGACCTATGATGAATTAGGTTAGTCAATTTAAAGGGGGTAATATTTTATGTTAAATCTTTTTATTTAATTATTTGATTGAATTAGTTTGTGAAAAACAGTTTTCAATTTCACAGTAATTTTTTTTTTTATCATTTTATTTGCCAAATTTTTAAAGTCACTGTATCCTTGGTTCCACCAACATCAAAGCAGTCTAGCTGTTAGCTGTTTGGACATGTGCACTGCAGTCCAGAAATTTGAGAAAGATGATGTCAGCTCATAATGCTTCCAAGAAATTATGTAATGTTCTTTTCAGATTATTTGTTCTGAGTTTTTATTAAAATTATGATCAACTAAAAGGTCCCGACCCAGAATGGGGTTGAAGTTAGCCACCAATATCCCGATCCACCTTGGCAAGTAGTCATAAAGCCATAATCACTCTGAACTTTATAGGGTATTACAGGCATGTGCTGTAATACATGTATACAAAGCACTACATTTCTCCTGTAGGAGAAATCCCACACATTTTGCGCAGATGAGGGCTCCATGTTGTAGGCCATACCCCTTTTGTTCTTTATAGTGTGAAAGCGCAAAAGATTTGTGGTCAAAGTAACTTAATAGTGAGGTTCATAGTTACAGCTAGCTGCATTATGTCAGTTAGAAACATAATCTGAAAGTGTACTTGTATTGTACATGGAGGTAAAGCTGGACTCTCAGTCTGGTATGGTTTTCTCTGAAGAAAACCATACCCGATGAATTCTGCTTGTGCCTACTCAGCCACCAGAGGATCTATTTGGGGTTTCCGTTAGGGATAAAACTGTAAAGCTTGAACTTAAAAGAACTGACAGAAAGACATCACCAGGAGTGAAGCCTGGGGCTTTTTGAACCCAGGATGGGAAACTTCACCAGGCTCAGACAGATTGATAGCGCTTTCTGGATATTTTAATGACTGCACTTAAAGCAATACCAATCCTATTTTTATGCCCTGGTGTATCATGTTCCCCCATTACTGTCTGATCCTAAAATGCACAATAGTGTTGGGATCAAAAGCTTTTGCTAAGCTAAAACAGGCCAGATTTTAACCACACATCGGCATGTTTTTCACAGAGCGAATAAGCATGTAGAAGTCAACTTTTGTGGGTGTTTTTGGCGTTTGGAGGGTTAGAGCACTATTTACTTTTTACCTTTGATGTTGAATCTCTGTCCAGCTCATCCTCCCCGTTATTTAGTGCTGAGGGATCGTTGATGTGGGCAGCAGAAGGTGGGTGTGAAGAGCGATGAACACTGTCTGTTCCAGCCTGCTGTTCCCACATTAGAACACAGAACATTCAGAGTAAACAATGGCCCAATGCAAGATACAAAGCAGCAGAATCTGCACCGCAACCAGAGGCAACTTTTAGCATTACGGCTTTAGCTATAATACTCAATTGGAGGAAAAACAAATTATTAGAAAATGTTTGGGGTTTATTTCAAATGCAATGAATATGGAAAAGAAAAATAAAGGGAAAAGGAGAAAGAAGAGAGGTGGGGCAAAGGTTAAAAAGGAAAACAAAAGATAAGAATAGATGAGAGAAAGAAGGATAAAGAGAGTTAAAGAAAACACCCTATATGTCTGCTTCTTCACTTACAGAAAGAGGAAGGAAAAAAAAAAACAAAGACCACCAAAGGAACAATACACTCCTACTCCACTGGTCTCCAACCCCCAATTTCAACCAAATATCAGTGGGAACATATTTATGTATTTGAGTTTGTGTGCAGAATGCTGAACCTTTGTGGGAAGCATTAGAGGGAAGCTCTAATGCATTATTTTTTTATATAATTTACTGATTTCATCCAAAGAAATGCATGTCTAAATGCCTAGAATTGATGACATTCATGCAGTTTAAAAGCGTGGTTGGCTCCGTTCCGCTGTGTGACGACAGTGTTCACTGAGTTGGATCAACGTCATCATTTTCATTTGCTCTTTCTGTAATGTGAAACTGGGTGTGGCCAGCAGATGTTTGCTTTAGTTCTGGTTTTGAACCATCATGTGTGAAGACACTTTACCGGTAGCACGCTGGTGGTTTGATCTTCCGAATTTATGATGGCAGTTTGTTGGTACTCCAGAAATAATATGCAAAATACTTTCAGGGAACAACTGTGAATGAAACCTTGCTGAACAAATCTGGTCTTTATGTTAAGGCCTACAATCTTTGACCCTGTCTCTTCTTTGGGAGGCTAATTTGGGTTCACCACAGCAAACTAGCTTTTCATTTTTCTCTGTCAGTGGTTGTCAATGCAAACATTCATTCATTAGGCTGACACAGGCTGGAAAGGAAAGACTGAATGCACCAACAATGTGGGCTTTGTTCACAATAAATGCATAAAGAAGACACATGCAGAGCTGCACCAATGGCAGATTTAAAGCACATTTCAGAACCCAGTATTGTTCCTGCATCGTAGGAACACCTCATTCATTTTATTTTTGAACATTTTAATTTAAACAATAACCTACAACTCACCTCTTCATCAGGGTCTCCACATGACATTGGCTCATCCTGCTCTTCTTTCTTGGAAGGAGATGATGTCAGGATGTCCGTCGCCTCCCACTGCGCAGCGGCTGTGACTCTGGCCAGGCTCTGATTTCTCTGAGCGTTTCCGTCTGTCTCATGATGTCTGGTGTCTCGCTCCTGCAGCAAGTTTCTGTACTTCTTCTTTAGGACGAGATATTTCTCTCCCTGAAGGTTAAACAGTGCAACAAGCCTTTAAAAAGGATTATCAAAAGCCTTGACTGCTAGAGGCTCTGTCTGTTGTAGCAAAGACACAATGAATTGTGACTGACTGAAAATTACACAGCAAAAGCAAATTGTAATATTTGAAAATTTTGTTCAAATTGAAGAAAATATGCTTCATGTATAAACAAATCAGCACAACAGTCAGACATTTCCATTTGGCACTGCAGTGACCCAACATCAGCTTTAAAATATAAAGGATTCAGACAACTAAAGGTTCATTTGGAACAAACTGCATGATACTGTAAATTTGTTAAGTTGCAATAACAATATCTGTTTTAATTTAACCACATTTTCCTCATTTTTTTCTTTAATCCTGCTCCTTGTGAGGTTTGTGATTTCTGTAAACAAAATCAGTCTCAACTGTAAGGCTGAAAAATATTGGCAAAATATTAACTTGCAGTACTAAACACTAAACATGCTAAACACCCTACTAGCTTCTGTGAAAAGCGTTTAGTCCCTTTCCCTGCTGATGTCAACAACGTTCTCCACATATATGATGACACCTGAAGAGAAAACGAAGTTATGGCCTAATAGGACACATTTCTGATATTTAGAAATTCTGCTTTATGTCTTCTGGACATTTATGACTAGTTTAACCAACCACTTGCACCTAAACGTTGACCTGAACAAGTAAATTGTGCCACTTGCTGTTTTACTTATTAGCTTTTTGTATGTTGTCTATTGGGAATGTAAATGTTTAAACCATCTGTTTAAATTAAAATGAAACTAGTTAGATATCGCCAGGTATGAAACAAACCTATGGTTATAGATTTATGTGTATCTAAGGCTCCATTATTCACAAAGAGATATGAGAATGGTACTATTTATACAATTCCAGAGAAAAAATAAAACTAGTAATAAATAAGAATCAAAATCAATAGAATAAAACAAATAAAAGTAAAAACTTAAAAATAAAAATGGTTTATGATCAAACATACATATAATAACAAATCCTTGTTAGTCTCATAGACCAGCAAATAAAATCATCATTATGGGAACACATTACCTAAAAAGTAGTATTTCTAAGCATAAAAAATGTAGTTGCAGTCTCAAGAGGAAACACTGAGGGTACAACTGATCCTAAAACTAAATCCTCTAACTCAGGGGTGTCAAACTAAATTT